TAATAGTTCCAAAAATAATAAAACTGGTCCCAAGAATAAAAATGATACACAACACATTGGGGTTTTTTTTTGCCATGACTTTGGTTTTGTTGTTCTTTTTAATAATTTTTTTTTTCCTTTTTGTCTTTTCGTGACCAGCAACGGATCGCAACCCTCAGTGTCGCGCCCGTACCGGACCAGGACCGGCCACGGGATCGCAACCCTCAGTGTTGCTCCCACCCCTCGCTCAGCCAGTGAGCGGCCGGTCTGTATGTGGGATCCGAACCCTCGGCGGGAGCGCCGCCACACTTCCCAAGCGGTGCACTATAGCAGTGCGCCACTGGGCCGGCCCCTCTTTTTAATAATTTTTAATGTCAAATCATGTGGTAGAAATGAAAAGGTTTTCTTCACAGTGATGAAACCCATTAAAGAGATGCAATCAATGACTTGTACAGAGGTGGGAGTTGAATGCACAGAAGTGACCTTTAAGACACTCCCAGTACAGTGTGGCCATCTCCATGTCTAGCTCAGGGTCTCCTTAGTGATAAAGGGGAAGGTTACTGGTTACATTTAACGCTGTGTCCTAAAAAGAACAAGAGCTTGTGCCTCTGCTGCATTGTTAAGGCTGTTCTTAATCTGCTGAAATCCACTTCTCACATTGTCAAATATTAACATAAAAAAGCAACATTTAGCTTACATTTTATCCCATCCCAGCATCACCCCTAATAAGGTGATTAAAGCATCCCAACAATAAATTTCTCTGCTTTAATAATTAGATGTTTGACAAGTGAAAAAAATATAGACTTCCTTTAAAATTATTATTTAAATATTATTATTATTAAAGCATCTTTAAGTGTTCAGGCCATCTGGATTTAGGAAGAGCTTTCACATCCCAGGGAGAGAAGCAGCAGCTGCCAAGTAGGTAACCATGGAGCTGATAACAAAATCTCTGATTTCGTAAAAGGCATTTCTTCATTAGTAAATTGGAATCCAAAAGATCTAAGACCTTGGCAATAAAAATAAATAATCCTGGTGAAGGGACACAGTCCCCTTTTTCACTGTTGCAGCACACATCCCAGAGCCGGCAGGATTGTGTCCCCCTGATTTACATCATGTTTTGGAAACCTTTTTGGTCCTTTCCCCAAATCCATCTCTTGCTCTCTTCTAAATCTCTTCTCCGGGACCTGGGTGGGTACTGAACTAAAAGCTTGCTGCGACAAGTGTGGTCTGAGGGCCAGCAGCATCAGCATGGCCACACCTGGACCCTCTGAATCCAAGTCCACATCTTAAGGAGGTCCTCAGGGGACCTGTGTGCACCCCACAGGGTGAGAAGGCTGGTTGAAGGTGCACCCCCGGCTGAAGCCCAGCCAGAAGTCATCACATGGGTGAAGTGGGGCCCCTGTACGCTGTGTACACCACTTCAGCACGTTTCCAGGGAGTAGGAAGCTTGGGGGGTGGGGTGGGGGGTATAAAAAAGGAGCAGTACCTTGCGCAGCCCAATCAGTACCTGTAGTTCACATTATTTTATCACCTTCAAGATAAAAAAAAAAAAAAAAAAAAAAAAAACCCATGCCGGGGGTTCTTATTCCATGGGTAAGTTTTACATTTTAAGTCTGTATTGGTGTCTTAGGGCTGCTCTAACAAAGTTCCATAGACTGGTGGCTTAAAGCATAAGAAAGTGATTGTTGCCCAGCTCTGGAGACCACAGTGTGAAGGCCGGGTGCAGGCAGGCCAGGCTCCCTCTGGGTGGCGGGGGCGCTCGCCTGGCCTCTCCCGGCTTCGGGGCTCCCGGTGCTCTTCAGCTGTGCTGGGTCTGCCTCTTCACAGGAGTTTTCTTCTTATGAGAAAACCAGTCATATTGGATTAAGCACCCCTACCCCCACCCCATGAACTCACCTGCAGAGACCTTATTTCCAAATAAGGTCACACGTACGGGGGTTTAGGACTTTAAAGTATCTTTTGGGGGGACACAATTCAACCAATAACAAAATCCTATGTCCTTATAGTAAGCCTTCACTCATTTGGACTAATTATGGGAAAAGCTATTATTAGTGAAAACTTAAATGTGGATTAGTCATTTGTTCATTCAAAACACTATGTAGACTTTGTCCTCTGTGCTCACCCCATGGTAGACCTGTGGACCGAGAGGTGAAGAAGACCTGGCCTCTGGTCCCCAGGAGGTCCAGGTCGGCGGGGGAGTGCAACAGAGCAGAGAGGGCTCTAGAAGCTCAGGAAGGTCTCTTGGAGTGTCTCTACTACCAGATTCCAGGTGACCCCACGCCCATTCAGATTCCCTAGGCCGGGACCCCACGTTTGTAACAAGCCCCAAGTGACTCTGATGCAGGGAAACACAGCCTCATTTGCAACCCACCGCCACAGGCATCAGGAAACCAGGGGTCTCCCCAACTGTTCCTAGCTCGCCCCCACCCACGGCCTGCAGGGAGGGCGCCCTGAGCATGCAAGTGGACAAGCAATGGGGGAAGTGTGAGATTGGATCGGAGCAGGAGGAGCCCAGTCGCAGGGAAGCACTTAGGAGTTTGCTGTTTTCTGACACAGTGACAGGTGTCAAGGGCCCTTAGCAGTGTCTTGAAGGACACTTTTATTGTTGTGGAATCCATACACTAACCTCAAGTCTTGAGAACTATAGGTAGGTTATGTACTCATCAGATATTTAAGTGCCAAGTATCGTGCAAGGCACTGTATTCAGTGCTTTGGGATTTGGGATTTTGCTATTAAAAAAAAAAAAGATTTAGAAAATTAATATAGGATTGCAAATTTTTAATTTTTATTTTGCCTATTATGGAATTTTTAAAAATTGCCATCATAAAAGAAGAGACTAATTATGTTCTTTTAATTTTATTTTAAATTTGTATTTATTCATTTTTGAATAGGTATTACCAAAATGTACAAAAGATTGCACTGGAAAAATAAATGTCCCTCCCACAGAGGCAACCACTATTACTAGAGAAAAGCCATTTTAACACCAAAAAAGTGGAAGGACATAATCTCAGAGAAAAAGAGAGTTTTCTCCTAAAAAAGAGCAGTTGGGAAAAACATGTGCCTATATTTTTCCTTTCTTTATTCATCCATTTATTTATTTACCAAGTATTTTTTACATTCCTTCTATGAATTAGGTATTGTTTCAGGTGCAGGAGATACATCAGATAACAGGAAAGTGTGAATACTGTAGCCTGCCCTCTTGCAGTTTACACTCTTCTGGGACTCAGTCTGAAGCTGGGACGTCTACTAGAAGGCCACATGAATGAACTGGGAAACCCCAAGAGCAGTTGAGGGAAGAGGGTCTCATCTCAGAGGCCCAAGAGTTCCTCGGGGTTACTCCGGGCACTCGGGATGCAAAACTGAGCATGAGGTTAGAAAATCGACCACCTGCCCTGTCCAGGACTGGTCAGAGACTAGGCTGAAGGTTTTACGTAGTTCTGAATGGGAATTGAGAAACAGAGTCTGACAATAGAGGTTTGTCCAGGCCTGAGTAAAAATGCAAGGGGGTTAAATATTAGGAAGCTGGGAGGACAGTGATTTTTAGTTTTTTGATGAGGTTCCTGTTTATGCAGAGAAACCAGCTAAATCTGTCTGCCATTTGCGTGCTTCCCTGTCGTCTTCCAAGCGTCTGGGTGAGCCTCTGAACGGAAGCAGCAGCGGAGCTGTGGTAATTACTGGGGCTCTGACCATGGCTCTCCAATCAGGAGCTCTGTTGGGAAGCATGAGCCTCAGCCTTTACACTTTAAAAAAATTAATGGACTACTATTTTTTAAATTAATAGTCTTTATTATTTTTTAAGGCGTTTTAGATTTATGGAAAAGTTTTCATATATGCCCTTATCCACCCATTTCCCTTATTATTGATATCTTGCATTAGTGTGACAATTTCATAATTGATGAATGCATATCGATACATTATTATTAATTAAAGTCAAGTTTACATTAAGGTTCACTCTCTGTGTTGTATATTCTATGAGTTTTGACGAATAATGTCATGTATACCATTACAGTATCATACAGAGTAGTTTCATCGCCCTAAAAATCCACCGTATTCCACCTGTTCATTCCTCCCCCCTCCCTCCCCCAAGCCCCTGGCAACCATTGATCATTTATTACAGTATCATACAGAGTAGTTTCATCGCCCTAAAAATCCACCGTATTCCACCTGTTCATCCCTCTCCCCTCCCTCTCCCAAGCCCCTGGCAACCATTGATCATTTTACTGTCTCCATAGTTTTGCCTTTTCCACAGTGTGTTATAGCTGGAATCATACAGTATGCAGCCTTTTCAGATTGGCTTTTCCAGATACGTACTCAAAGGCCATATCTTTTTGTGCTTGATAGCACGTTTCTTTTTATTGCTGAATAATACTCCATAGTATAAGTTATCACAGTTTGTTTATCTATTCATCTGCTGAAGGACATTTTGGTTGCTTCTAAGTTTTGGCAATTAGAAATAAACCTGCTAGAAACATACATGTGCAGGCTTTTGTGTAGACATAGATTTTGAACTCAAATCGGTAAATACCAAGGAGCACTATTGCAGGATCATGTGATAAGAATATGTTTAACATTTAAACTTTTCCTTCAAGAAACTCTTCCCCTTATGTAAAATTTTGAGTGCAGAAAGAAACATAGCATAACATTTTATCTTAAAATATTATGTCATATGCAGTTTCTTCTTGATATGAGTTTGCCAGTTTGGGAATCTGTATTTGACATTGCAACACAAAGCTGAAAACCTTAGCTTTTATCAAAAAAAAAAAAAAAAAATCAACCCCAAACAAAAACAAAATAGACTTTAATATCTAGCACAATTCTGGGGGCATTTGTTTTTTTAAAAAATTGACTTTATTTTAGTCACAACAAAATTGAGTGGGAAGTGTAGAGGGTTCCCAGGTGCCTCCTGCACTCACATTTTTTTTAATGCTGTCATTTATGAAATAATAGTTGCACGCAAGTTTGTTAATGAAAATGTCTCTTTTTTAAAAAACCCTGACAACTTTTACAATTCAAAAGTAACAGAAGCCGATGGAAACCAATGCAAGCGATGCAGACCTGTGCGATGCGAACACGGTTATTTCTCTTCCTCCCTCCTGCCCATCCTTCCCACCCTGGTCACCACTCAGTTCAGTGTGTAAACTTGTGGACATTATTTTTCTATGCTTCATAAAACATATTTATACTTAAGCTTTTTCTTTTTTTAAAATTGTTTTTACAAAAATAGTATCCTACCATACATATTGTTCTACAACATATTCTTTTCTTTAAATAAAGAACAGACTTTCCAGCTTAGTGTATAAAAAACTAACGTATCCTTAAAGAAATAAAAACACACCTAACTTATCTTTTTAATGACTGCATAGTATTCCACAATCTATTCATTCCCCTGTGATGGAAATCTAAGTAATTTTGTTATTATAAATCATGCTTAAGTAAACAGTCTATACATTCATCTTTATGCATTTGCACTAAAATTTCTGTGGGATGAGGCAGAAGTATAGAATTGAGGTCACTGGGTCATTTTTTACATAGGTGCACACACACAGACTCATAGACTAAAATTGCTCTCTATAAATTCCATCAGCACTTTATGAACAAGTCAATATCTATATCCTGAAAGATAGTAAGCATTTTTCTTTTTTGCCAATTTGACAGGCAAAGATTGGTATTTCATTGTTTCAATTGATATTTTACTGATCTTGGACATCTTTTCATATGCTTGGAAGCCATTTGAATTTCCTCTTTTTTGAATTGTCTGTTTATGCCCTTTGCCTATTTCTCTTTTATAGAAAAGTTTTACATATACAAGTAATATATTAATTTAATGTTATTATAAAAACATTCAAACAATGCAGAAGTGTATAGAATTGATAAAAATTCTATCTCCAGAAATTAGTTACCATAGTCAAAAGGTTGAGATCTATTCCTCAATATATACAGTTTTCTCTCTGTATGTGATACATATGTATATTTGTGTGTATGTGTATATATGATCATACATACGTATTATTCTGCATCATACTTTTATACTTAACATGTCATATATATGTATTATATATATACTGTTTTATTTAACAATATAAGGGTACTTCAAAAAGTTCATGGAAAGATTCATATTATCTTTTAATTCTATTTTTCCACGAACTTTTTGAAGTACGCTTATACAGAATCCTGATATTTTTAAAATTTTATTTTATTTTTACCACTCTTTAGTATTCCATGTGTTATAGACTGTATGTCTGCACCTCCATTCAAATATTGAAATCCTAACCCCCAATGGGATGTCATTAGGAGGTGTGGCCTTTGGGATAATTAGGTTTAGATGAAGTCGTAAGGGTAGAGCCCCTGTGATAGGATTCATGTCCCCTTAAGTAAAAGACTACAGCTCTCTTGACTCATACAATGAGAAGGCAGCTGTCTCCAGATGCCAGATCTGCCAGCACCTTGATTTTGGACTTCTAGCCTCCAGAACTGTGAGAAATAAATATTGTTTAGGAAGTATTCTTGTTACAGAAGCCTAAGCTGACCAAGATGTCATGAGAACCTCCATCCTTTTTTTTCTCTTTCTATTTAGCCAACACGCATGTACTGCTTACTATGCATCAGGTACTCTTCTAATGCTTTATAAATATTAGCCCATTTAATTACATAACCACCCCATGGAATAGGTATTATTGGTATTCCCATTCTATCAAGGAAACTGAAGTACAAAAAGGTTAAGTAACTTGCTCAAGATCACACTGCTACTCAGTTACGGAATAGATTAAAACTTTATTTTAAAATTCTCTTATCGATAGGTTTCAGTTGTTTCCAAGTTTTTTGCTATTTACCGTGGTGCTGCAGTAAACACCCCAGGGACACAGCAAGAAGCTGGAGAAGAGAAGGGCAGAAACCAGGTCCACAGGGACAGAGAAAGTCACAAGTACCAAAACAGGCAAGAGAGAGCGGGTAAAGGCACTGGCGTGGGTGTGTGGATGGCTACAGAAATAACGCGTCTTCACAGCGTCTCCGGGACGGAAAGAGCAGACCGTGGAGCCAGTCAAGTGCAATCTGTCTTGAGGACAAGGTTGAAAGATGTCAACAACAGCCAGCTTGTGGGGCAGGATTTCCATGTGGAAAACTTGCTTATTAAGTCACAGGCAGTGACCCAGACTGTCATGATTTTTCAGTCATTTGGACGCTAAATATGAAAGAATGTCCCATTATATGATCCAATAGCACATTACTACAATTTACTTTGTTTACCTGGCAAACAGTATTTGCTGAATGTTCATTCATACAAAGTGGAATCAAATGCATATTGAGTGAAAATATTTGCTGTTCATTTTTGGATGACATTTTATAGTTAAAATAAGAGAAAGGCTATTTTTTAGGATAATGAATTGAGACATATAGAAGAAAAAGCAAGCAGTTGAAAAATAAAAATAGATAAGAAATGATGAAAATAAGAGCAGAAATTGTAGAGTGCCCTAAATTTGACCAAACAAAATGTAAAATGGGCAGAAATTTCCTGTCTAAAGTGCACTGAATTTGAAAATGTAGAAGCAAAACTAACTTTAGATTTTGAAGACAGAGCCCTTTAAAACAGTGTTTCTGGAATGAATCTAAGTAGTTTTTTTTAAAGTTCTTGTTGCATGGATAGGCATATCCTGTTCCTGGATGATAACACTTAATATTATAACAATATCAGTTTTCCCCAAAATTAAACAACATGTTTAACATAATTTAAAAAATCCTAATAGAATTTTGGAGGTCTTGAGAGGTGGTGCTAGCATGGAAATATTGAAATCTATAACACAATAAAAGATTCAGAAACAGGGATGTCCCCAGTTCGCTCTCCTGGTAGAGTACGGTACTGATAACACCAAGATCAAGGGTTTTTATCCCCAGACAGCCAGCTGCCAATTAAAAAAAAAAAAAATTCCAGAAACAGGTCTAAATATGCATACGAAAATTTAGTTTAAAATTAAAACATTTAAATTTAGTGAGGAAAGGATGAACTGCTTAATAAATAATACTGAAATAAAAGATGGACTCATCAAGGTGCCAAAAATAATTTTTCAAATAAAAATTCCCACTGTTAGTAATAGGGCACAGGAAATAGAACACTCTTAGGTCTGGTTGGAGTATAAGTTGGCACATTTCTGGAGGGAAATTATACAGATATAAAATCTTTAACAATGTCTATAGTTTATGAACCAGTAATTTCATTTCTAACAATGTATTCTGAAGAAATAGTTGTTGATGCGCCCAAAGATATAGGTCTAAGGATGTTAACTGAGCTTTGATTATTTTGTCTAAATCATTTACATACTCAAATAGTCAATAGAAAAGGATGATTAAATAAATTATAGCATACCCACACAACGAAATACTATACAGCCATCAAAATTATGCAGAATAGCAACAAGCTTACGTTTACTGAGTACTTAGTATGTGCCAAGCGGATTTCTAATAACCTGACATGTAATAACGTGTTTTGCCCTCCCAACAACCCTGTGGGTTAGGATGATTATTTCTTCCAATCTATAACTGAGGAACCCGACCACACAAGGAGAGGCTCAGTCCCTTGCTAGTAAGTGGTAGAGCCAGTAACTGAGCTGCCCCACACTCCTATCATTACAACCATTACACTGAAGAGATCAAGTAACAATGCTGGACAATGCGTACAACATAATAAGTGAGAAAAAGTGGTATGCACGTCGTGATCCAATTTCGGTAAAAGAATATATTTATATACTCATAGAGAGAAACCGGAAGGAAATAACAGCAAGATGCTAAGTTGTTTTCTCTGGGTGACGGGATTCTAGGCCTTTTGAGCAGATCCATTGGTGCCCTGGACCACTTTGATGTCACCACCCCGAGTTCCACTATTACAGGCCAAGAGATTCCTGGTCTCTCTGCCTAAGGGAATCTCTGACTGGTGTCTAGAGGGAATACCAGAG